ACTGGTGGCCTTGACCTGCAATAGTGAAGGCAATCTTATTTTTACTGGATTTAAGAGAAAATGGGAGGAAGAAAGTGGAGACATGAGCAGAGACAAATCCTCTAAGAGATTCAGCTGTGAAGGAGAGCGGAGTCATGGGGCAGTGGCTGAAGAAGGAAGTCAAGGATGTTTCTCTTTTTCTTTTTAAGATGGTACATGTTTGCTGCAGTTGAGACTGACTTGGTGGAGAGGGAAAATTGTCGATGCAGGAGAATGGCAGCGGGGAACAGTGGCAAGAGCAGATACCTTGAGAAGGGGCAAGATGAAGGAAGTCAAGGATGTTTCTCTTTTTCTTTTTAAGATGGTACATGTTTGCTGCAGTTGAGATTGACTTGGTGGAGAGGGAAAATTGTCGATGCAGGAGAATGGCAGCGGGGAACAGTGGCAAGAGCAGATTCCTGGAGAAGGGGCAAGGTTAGCACCTAAACGGAGAGGCCGGCCCTGCTTGCACGTGTGGACAGCTCATCCTTTGTAGCAGGAGAGAAGGTGGCGTGGACAGGGATGGATTCTTCTAAGTGGGGAGATTTGCTTCTCTTTTCTCAAGGCAATAAGAAACAAGGGCCATTTGGTTAGAAGGTGGAGGAATGAGGGGGATTGGCAGTTTGAGGAATAAGAGCAGGTTTGAAATAGTCGTGCTGGAAAGAGGGAGGGTAAGTTGAGTCGGTCAGGGAATGCAGTAGGATCCTGGGCAGTCCTGAGCATCTCCCTGAGGTTTCTGGGGAAGCATTTAAAGTGAGACTTGTCAGCATCGTCGTGTGTTCCTCCTCTCCTCCTTTTCCACTACACGTTCAGCCACTTCAGGACAATTGTGATGGAGAAAGAGACAAAGGAGGTGAAATTGTGTGCAGGGGAGTGATTATAGAGATGGACTCTGGAACCTAAGCTGAGGGCACTGGGGGTGGCGGGGGGTGATGCCCAGTGAGAAAAGAGTAGTGTCAAGAGCTTGGGGTTTTCATCCTGCCTTGGAAATCGCCAGAAAAAAACACAAACCAGTCTTATCAATAGCTAGTCAACACTGAGCTCAGTCCAGGTACGTCTCTTTCTTTTTTTTCTCCTCGGGCCACTGTTGTCTGTCTCACTTGGGCACTTGGAAGAACGTGGTCCTACTCTCCCCCATTTCCTTTCTATTCTTCCCTTGGTCCCAGAGTCACTCTACTTGAGCCAGTAGGTCTTAATTCACACCCTCACCCTATAAATCTGTGTTGCTGAGGCCCATTTCACTCTGGATCCTCACATTTTCAAAGTGGAGGATCAAGAAGACCAAGCTTTGTCTTACTTCAGGGAGTTGCTTCTCACAGGAGGGCTCTCTTTATGCTAGAAACCCCACTGCCCACCGCGGGTGAGGATGGGAGTGGGTGAGGATTATGAAGAGAACAGACGGCCCGTTCCCCCTGCACTTGTTAAATGCAGGGGTACTTTCTTCTTTATGTTCTAAATGTGTGCGTGTTCTATGAGCTTTCACTAACCCTCGCTTCTGTCCTAATGCTTCTGATTTTGGCAAACAACTTCATTTGTGCAGGCTGCATTTTTCTTGGTCTTCACCTTTTCAGGTGGGGAGGCCCATCCTCTTAGGTGACCCTCCATTAGCTCCTCCAGCCACATCTGGCTAATCACTCTACCCACCCTCATCTGGAGAACACATTGGGGCCCCTATGAGCCCAGCCTGCTGGCAGAAATTCTAGAAGTTCCTGTAAAGGCAGGATAAAACTTTCTGCTTTCTTTCCAGTATTCACTGGTGAGGATGCCCAGCACTTTATTGGAATTTTGGGATATAAAATACTTCAAGCTTACGTCTTTAGGGATAACGCACAGTGATGTCCAACTCTCCTTGCTGGTCATGACTGAGCCTTCAGAGCCCTTTGATTTGGATATCCTCAGATTTTTTTTAATCCCTGAATATATTACCTGGCTCTCATCCATATTAAAAGTCATCTGTCATTATGTGCTCACTCATGGATAAGTGCTTCCTGAAGTCCAGCCCCATTTGCTTGGTCCTTCATATCCAGGAAGAAGTTAATACCATTCTCAAACTGAACGATTAAGAAAAATGACATCACTTGGAAACGGGTAAATATAGTCTAGCCTTAGTCTTCCTATTGCTTCAAAATTACTTAAAATTTGAGCTAAGTTGATAACTCAGATATACAGAGGCCACTTTTTATTCACATGGGAGTCATTGCAGGGGGTTGGTGGTCAGAGTCTTCCCAGACCTTTCACACTCTTGCTCTGTTCTCAGCATGCTTGGTGATGACCTCTGACCTTAGCCACTGCCCCTTGGAGGCCCAGGAAGGGTGTGGAAAGAGCATGGGCTTTAGCACCAGGCTGACCTAGTTGTTGACTCTCTGATCTCCTGCCTGCTCTTGGCTGTGACGCTGCAGTTATCTAACCTTTTTAAGCCTCAGTTTCCCCAGCTCCAAAATGAAGATAAATAATCATACTTATTCACAAGGTTATTAGAAGAAGTAAATGCAATCACACATTTAAAGCACTAGCATAGTGCCTGGTCCATAAGTGCTGAAAACACATTATTAATTTTTTTTTAAGTCTAATAAACTTGACCCTCAGTAGACCTATGTGGCCTTGAGTTCAACTCTCTGAGCCCCATTGCTCACCGAGAAAATAGAGTTGATGTAAGTGTGAAATGAGATTGCTTCTCTCTGCAACTCACCAGCACAGCTTCTTACCCTTTTTAGTGCATTTTCCTCTGAGCCATTTTGTAGAAATGCTGCAGAAAGATGTATCTGGCACCAACCAATTCAATTCTAATCACTGCAGATCAGATGTGGGAGAAAAGTCAAACACTCTTTTCTAGGTACCCAGGAGTCAACACTCCCAACTCAAATCTGTGGAAGGCAGAGATAAGATTTTTTTTTTTTTTTTTTTTTAGGAAGGAGACCATAGAATGCCCATCTTGTTGCAGTTGCAGGAGCACGTGGTTCTGTGGTCAGCTTTACCCAGGTGCAACACCTGTAGATAAAGCAGTGGAGGGCACTGGAAACAAAACTGCCATGGGCACCTGAGCCAGAGATTTCCTTAAAGTGTGTGAAGTGGGGTTGATAACAAAAGGGAAGTGGAGGCAGGAGAACAGACCGTCAAGGAGCTGCTGCTGGGGCAATGTGGAAGAAACCACAAAGCAGATAGGCTGGGAAAATGCTTCTGCTGCTCCTGCTTTCTCTCCTTATTTCTTTTCTTCCCCTCTTCTTCACAAAGTCACTCCCAATTGTTTAACAGTTACCACTCGAGTAACAAATTAGCCCACTGGTGGCAGAACATGGCCTTTTGGCACTAGGCAAACCTGGGTTCAGTTCCTGATTCCATCCCTTGCTGCTCTGAAGCTCAGTTGTTGCATCTGTAAAATGGAGATGACAATTCCTGTGTCAGACAGTCGCTGTGAATATCATGGGTCATTATGTGGGTAAAAGAGCCCAGCACAATGCCCGAAGGCTGCAGAGAAAATTCTAGTTCCCTTCCTTCCCTCTTCCCCACTCTCTGTCTTGCTACACATTTATCTACTAAGCAGAACTAATTCTCAGACCCTTCCTTCTTTAACAGAAAGAGCTTTGCCTGCCATAAAACATTAGCAAACAGTGATTGAGTTGGGGATTTTCCTGGAAGAGCTGTATGTGAGCAAGCAGCGTGTGCTCATTTGATTTGTAGATATATCGTAATGACTTCTCTCACACAAA